TGAAATAAATAAATATGTAAGTGAATTTATATTTTTAGACCATTTAATTATTTAATAGAGTTATGAAATCAGCAAAAATTGATCTCAATAAATAGTTTTACATAAAGAAATAAGAATTAGGGAGTTTTGAAAACAAAAAAAAAAATCAACTATTGAATCCAATCCAATGGCTAAAATTTTAGCTTCCTACACCCTAGAATTATAAAACCCACAAACCAGCAACATCCCCACACAAAGATAGTTTGATTCATGCCTCTCTAGTCTCAGACCTTCTATCTAAAAAATTATCCTACTTTGCAGGCACATGGACTTGTCTGTGGCTCTTGTAGTATGTCTTCTCACGATCTCACCACTCTTTTTCTTAGCTTTTGCCTATCTCAAAAGGCCTTTTCCAGCCCAGATATGTCTCACACAATAACATGACCATCATCATCTGTGTGTGTGTGTGTGTGTCTATATATATAAACTTTATTGCCTAGGTCTAGGCATCTCTTACTATCAAAGTTTTGAGAAAAGTAGGTTGAATGCTGAATAAGCTCGATGTTTTTTCCCTTTGCGTTCATTCCAATAAATAATAATCTTGCAATCTATTTCAGGTACAAAATATTTTGTATAATCTATTTTACGTAATTTAATAATGCATATTCCTAATCTAAACATTCAGCTAAAAGAGAAATAAATCAAAATAAAAATATTGAAAATAATTTAAATAAGGAAACTCCTAATTATAGAAAACTTCTAATTTAGTTGTTTGATTTTCGTCCTTCCTGATTGACAATCTTGTCATATAATCACCCTCAAATTGATAATGACTGATCATGAAGCATCAATTTGCCAATAAGAAACTGATAACATTGTCGAGACCAAAGATTCTCAAATCGTGAATGCCAGAGCCGAAGTCGAAGTCTCAGAGACAACACCTGAACCATAACATGATTTGAGCAAAAAAAAGCAAGAAATTATTTATCATTGTTGTCCATAAATTCGAATCATAGCTACAAGCAGGATCCGCTTCCAGTTACACGATTCAAATGCTATCGATCATAGCCCACAAATAGGATTCAGTTAAACAATTCAAATGTTATCAATCATAGCCTACAACTAGAATTCGTGTCCTGATCCAAATGCGACCGATCATAGTCCACAAATAGGATCCAGTTACACGACTCAGATGTTATCGATCATAGCCTAAAAGTAGGATCCACGATCCATATGCTACTGATCATAGCCCACAAATAGGATCCAGTTACACGATCCAACTGCTATCGATCATAGCCTACAAATAGAATCCGCGTACTGATCCAATTGCTATTGATCATAACCCACATATAGGATCCGCGTCCTGTTTTACAATCCAAATGTTATTAATTCTTCCTACAACGATGAGGATGATTTGTTCCCTGATCTTCACGCCAAAAATGTTAAAGCTGATATGTCGAAGTTGTGGGTCTATGAAGGAGTGTTGAAGCCTTCAATCCTTGGGTGCGATGAAGAAGCCAAAGTCAAAGCGGAAGAAACAGTCGAAGATGTCAAAGAAGCAGCGATGGCTAATGAAGGAGATCCAAAGCAGGTGAATCGAACGAAGTGAACGAAATCGCAGATTGCGGATGAACTTGAATCGGAGACGAGAAAACAAATGGACAGAATCGCAGATCGCAGCTGGAATCAAACGAAGGAGACGAAACCAAACACGGGAGATAGAAGAAGGCGAATCGAAGGCGAACGAAGTTGTCGCAGCGGATGAAAATCCTTAGATGGGCTAATGAAGGCAAAGAAATAGTTCCTCACTTCCCGCAAGAAGGCCGGCGGGGAGGGAGTCTCGACTGTCCTCCTACGACTACCGGTGGTTAGGGCAAAATTTTGGCCCTGATACCATGTCAAAGTTTTGAGAAAAATGGCTTGAATACTGAATAGACTCGATGTTTTTCTCTTTGCTTTCATTCCATCAAATAATAATCTTACAATCTATTTTAGGTAACTTAATAATCCATATTTCTAATCTAAATATTCAACTAAAAGGGAAATAAATCAGAATAAAGATATTGGAAATAATTTAAATAAGAAAGCTCCTAATTATAGAAAACTCCAAATTTAACTGTCTGATTTTCGTCCTTTCTGATTAACACTTGCTCTTATGATTTTTTTTGCCTCCTGAATCAAAGGAAAAGTCAAGCTAGACCTTTTTTTTCTAATAGAGTCAGATCAAATGAGTAACGCTCATTAGATAAATTTTTTGCAATATTTGTTAAACTTTTGTTAAATGTTTTTGGTGCAATTAGATCCATGGCTCATGTGTACTAATTTTTAGTTCTTGTGGCTTGTTACTATTGATAGTTTGTGAGATGAAGTTATTTTTTTAGATTAAGTTCGAATGTTTTTTTTTTTTTTTTTTTTTTTTTTTGTTTTTTTCCACTAATGTTTTGACATGAGATACCATTGTTCACGGGTCTGCTAATTTCCAAGATGAAACTTTTTTTTTTTTGGATACGAATTCTATCTAATAATATGGGCTTAATTTTTACTAGCATGGAAGAAATATTTTTTTTTTATCTGTAGTTTACTTATCACTTTTTTAATCAAATTTTTTAATTCCATAAAGGTTTGGTTGAGATGAGATCTATTAATTCTTTTTCATTTGATTTTATTGCTATATTGCTTGAAATAATTATGTCAATGATTTGCATGTTCATGTAATATATTGTTAATGCTCTAAACTTGATGAATCATTGGAATTTTTAGTCTATTGTACTTTTTTAATTATGACTTTTTTAAAATTGTGTTGCGTAATATTGTGTTTTAGTCTAAACATAGTATTAACAAAAATTCACTTCAGTTCTTTTGTAACATAAAATTTGTGCTTCAGGTCCTCATATTCACGGAGTTTAGAGGCTATGATGATTTTGACACCAAATAATCATTGGATTGATTATGATGATTTATTTAAGTGCTTCCGTTGTTTGCAATATTGATTATGCTCCTCTATAACCGGGATGGCATACTCAAAAGATTCTATAACCATATAGAGGATAAGAAATTACATAACCAATATATGCGTGATTCTCAATACTTTTTTATTGCTACCTTGCAAGATACAACCATATGGGATTGCAACGATTCAACAGTGACAATGATGATAAAAGTTTGTTTGAAAGGGAAGCTATAATGATTTAAAAGATGATCATCGTAGAGTGTAATATAGTTGCCTTGAAGATGAATTCTGATTCCTTTAAAGCTAGTATGGCATAATATCGTGCAACCCTTTATATGATAAAAGAAATTAATACTTAAACTTAAATCCAAGCCTCCAAAAAAACAGCGTGCAGTTATTTAAACTGCACATTGTGAAACATAATGAAAAGTTGTCTTGAGGTATAGTTGTCATTCAGTCGGTAGCAAGCTCAGATTATCATTCTAATTGCTACATTCAATAACTAGTAAATTGAATTTAATTGTTATACTTTATTGGTTTTCATTCTATCACCACTAAGCATATAATTGCTATATGTGGCTGGCCACTACATTATAAGTTGTATGTTTATATCGGCATAATTTTTAGTGAAGTCATTGTTATGCTTATAATTGCTGTATGGTTATATTGTTATATGCAGTTGGCCGTCTAGGAGTTGCCATGTTGGTCTGCTGAATTTATTTGCCATGTTGGTCTGCTTTAATCCTGCTTGCTATTTAGCCTATCTCAATTATGGTGCCTGTTGCCCATCGTCCTTGGATGCTCATTTTGGAGGTTCGCTAACAGGCAATAATGATTAATTTAGGTTGATTATCATGACTTTAAAATATATTCATTTGTAGCCTAGCTTGAGCTGAATTTAAATCATATATAGCTGGTATGACACAAAAATACTTCACAAACATATCAGGATAAGTGAAGTTTAAACTTAAATTTTAATCTGGGCCTCTACATTTTGAATTAATAAATATAATTTATTTTAAAAGGCAATATCTATTTAAATGGTTTCTTATTAATAAGTTTCTTCTTGTATCAAAACATGCAGATATTATTCTATCCATAGAGTTAAAACGAATCAGTATTTTAATTATAACATCGTAATGAATTTATTGACAAAAAAGATTGCAATGAAGTTATCTCTTTTGTTGAACACGATGACCATAATAATTCTATATAATTCGTTATGCGTTCATTTTAGAAACTTTGGGTATGTTCATTTATTAAAAAAATCTAATTCTTTTAGTCATTTGAGCCTAATTGTGCCGAATGTGCTTGTTATGATCTACAGACATCGAATATGAAACAAGTGAATTTAAGCAAACAATTTTCAAACAAGCCAAATGGAATAAACCCGCTGAAGCTCGGCTCATATACATCCCTACTTAGGTTAATTATTTATTAGACAAGTTTCATTACTCCATAGCCACTACTTCATGTTGTATGGTTAAACTCCTAAAATCAACTTACAATATTAACAAAAAATATTTTTATTGAATCAAGGTAATAATAAATCTATTAACAATTTAGTGACTTCACTTTCAAACGTAATTAAATCACCTTCTCATTTTTTTAAGAATATTTCTCATTGTGATATAATAAACTATGTTTGACCCAAGAAAAATTTCTCCTAAAAGAAAAGCTCTATTTTTGGAGCGATTATTGCGTACGGGCACTGCACGTAAATTTGTGTGCGGTGTCCAATCTAAACCACCGAAATATATTTTTTTTTATTTTTTTATTGTTAGAATGGGGCCCACTCTAATTTTTGGACGGTCTTGATCGGACATTGGACGCAAAATTAGCGTATTTTTCCTATTTTTGAGGCCCCTCTTTCTCTTCAATAGAATCCCCAATCCCAGAAATCTCTCTCTCTCCCTCTCCCTCTTGTAGAGATTAAGAAAAAAAAAAATTTTAAGGAAAAAGCATTCTAAAATGGCCACTGTGATCATATAGAAATGCTCAATCATACGTATATTAGCACACTAAAATAAGGAATTAGGAAGAAGCATTAAACAAAGAAATATAGACTGACCTCTGCGCACTGCTCTTCAATTTCATGACGGAGTTTCAAGACATATTCTGCGCTGATATCCAAGTTGTTCAAAGCAGCAGCAATCTCTGTTCCTGTCTTTTGCGCTCCAAACCCGCCCAATAATAGTTTGGAACCTAAGTTGGGCTCCCTCAACTTTTGCTGTAGAGCATCCTCGTACTCATTTGTAAGAAGGTTGATCGCTCCACTCAGTAAGGCAAGGACCGAATTACTACTCCCAGTGGAGATAGCTCTCCTGCAACAGCTCTGAAGTACATAGAACACGTCATCCACCATTGAAGTAGTGAGACTATCAGGCACATGCTCGTCAATGTTTATCGCCTTCCGCACATTCTCCACCATGAAGAACTCTTCAAGTATCACATAGAAACCGGTTAGATCCTGCACCACTCTATTGAAGCTCCCACTCCTAAAGGCCTTTGTAGCTCGAGGACCCAATTCAGGATCCACAGAACGCAATTCCCTGATCTTTGACACCATGAACTCAATGTAATCCTCTCCCAGCTGCGTGAGCGAGAGGATTTCCTCCAGATACATCTCCACCACTCTTGGATCCGGACCTTCGGTAGAACCAACAGATATCAAGTTCTTGCTGTAGGAATTGATCTCGGAGGTAAGGCGTGAAAGCTTTCTGTAGTCCATGTACTTCTTTAATATCTGAGTGCCCCGAGAGTCGCACTCCTCTTGTAGCTCACAAATGGCATAGACAATCCCATCTTCACCACAAAGGCTGCGCAGGACCTCATCATTCTCTTCCACGGCAAGAACAATGTCTTTGAACAGATTAGTGAGGCAGGAAACAAAATTAGCGCCTCCTTGCCCTGAGTTGGAGTTAATGTGACTATCCTGCCCCGTAAACTCCGTCAGATGCTCAAATTCTAGCCTTGATCTGAGAGCAATGACCTTTCTGAGATAAGAGACATAGATCTGAAGGCCTTCTTCCTGAAGACCAAGCAGAGGAAATACACGGACGAAGCGGAGGATCGTGGAATGATCCCTCTTATCGACGGCCGCGGCAAGTCGATTGCGCACAATGGACTCAAGCTGGCGCTTACACTCGAGGAGCTGCTCACGCTGATCGGATCCGGAGTCACGGAACTGGGAATCGATCTGGAGGAATGTGTGGATAAATCTTGCGGCGGAGTCATAGTCATCGGAGTCGAGCGCGCGGCGAGCACCGTCGAGGCAGTGTGAGCGCTCCACGATGGCGTCGATGCGGGACAGAGTGGACTCTACACGAGATTGCGCGAGATCGAGCTCACGCACCTTTCGACTTACCTGTTCAGCGAGATTGGCCGTAGATCGGACAGAGTCGAGAAGGACGTCAGCGTCGGAGCGGGCTAAATCGAGGAGGTGGGAGGAGCGCTGAATGGACAAGAGGTGGCGGTCTAGTTCCGTGCGCTGAGAGAGGAGAGAATCTAGCCGAAGGTCGAGACCACGCTGATAGGCGATGCATTCATGGAGGAGGCGTGTCATGGCCCCGACGTCGGTGAGAGATCGGATATGGGCTAGGGTTTCGGGGCTCCCAAAGTCGACGGAGGAAGAAGGAGGGTCATCGCCAGAGCCGTGATCAGGTTCCGGGAGTGAGGCGGATCTGTCTGGATGTATGGGGGAGAAGACCGCCATTGCGCTCGGTCACCTCTCGGATCTCGGTAGAACGATGGAAGAGGCCTCCCCGGTAGAATATCAATATTAAAAAATTTTAAATTTATATAATTTGGAATTAATATTTAAAAAAAAAATCAAAATTCTCACTGCCAAAACAATCAAAAGAGACCATCGTACTCTAAGAAACCTTTCTTATAAATTAAAAAAATATCATCATTTTAACCTTTAAAAAATAAATTATAAATTTTCATACATAAAATAATATCATCATTTTAACCTTTAAAAAATAAATTATAAATTTTCATACATAAAATTTATTTATATAAAAATTAAAATTTAGATGTTAGATATGTCAATACATTGAAATTGATTGGTATGTATGCAAATCTTTCATATTTTACACATTATTATCAATTAAATTTATTTTAAGAAACTAAGTACTAAAATGCAAATTACATTTGCATACATACGATTAACATCAACTTTCATATTTACATACATGATACTCAAATCATTAACATCACATCAAATATACTATTATTAATGACTTTCTAAAAATGAAAATTAAATCCAAATTACATATATAAATACATAAAAATTGTGTGATAGGTTTGTAAATTTCCCCAAAATACAAATACTTATTGAGCCCAAAACCTTTAACCAAGTAAATTACAGGCAGGCAGGCAGCATCCATGAAATACTTTGTGCTCATAATAATATGACATTAAGATATGAATACTATTATACTGAAACAATATATTAATCTTCATATTGCAACATAATAGCTTAATAGTATAATAAAAATAGTTTATGATTTTTAATCTAAAAAATATTGTGAATTGATGTAATAATTGTATCCAATTACGCTAAAGGGTCAACTTTATTTTTTTTACTTTTTATCAATTATTCTATTAATAATGTTTATATTATAATAAACGGAATAAGTGATTACATAAGATAAAATTACAACCAATATTTTAGATAGCATTATTTTCTAATTGGGCTAAAGGAGAATTACATTAAATATAATATGATTTTTATATGTTAGTTTTTTAACAAATAGAAATAAGTATAAAATATAACCTATTATTAAAAGGCTTTGATTTGAAACTAAGAAATAAAAATTGAGTTCAAAATATTTACATTTCATATTCAGAAAAAAGGAGATAAAGGAGCCCTAAACGTTTTTATTGGATGAGTTTCAACTTTAAGAAGATGAGCACAAATTGCTCTGGATTTATTGCAGTACAAAAAGTAGGGGCATATGATATTATATGTGAGCCGGGCCAAGCCAAGGATGTATGTGGTTTATGATGTTATAAGGTTAACCGATACGGAAGAATTCAATCTATATTTGAAGTCAGAGCATTCTGTTTTTCGATCTAACCGGAAAAGAATGTGTTATAGAATTATGAATGATAAGGCAGCAATAACTTGGAGGTAATAATCAGACTATGACATTCGTGTATAATAATAGTTGGGCAGCAACAGCCATTGGTTGACAAAGATTAGTAGTGATTATTAGCCTCAAGCTTTCACTCTAGAGATCTTTCATAAACTTCAAATTAAGTGATCATGAGCTTATTAGATTTATCTTATCGGGTCGCTGAATTAGCTCTAAGCGTAAGGCGCTCAATTGAATTATAAACATGTAAGATTCAGAAATCATTTAATCATTCGACTGATGCTTTAAAATTTCTAATCATACTTCAACCACTTGATGTGAACCCATTTGAACTCAAATCGAAGTAACATTAATGATCTTGGGTTTGTAATATCAAGACATTCAGTTTTGACTATAAAATTGATGAATTGAAGCTCAAATGATCTTAAATTTGACTTCACAATTTTTTTTTAATCCAAAATGAATCACAATTTATGCACGATCAAGTGAATTTTTGGTACATATCAACTAAGTATGAAAATATGTGTTGGACTTGTAGGTATGGCCTAACCCGAGTATTTGAAAGTGTATGATAATTGAGTCCAAATCACTTGTTACATTATTGCAGGAGCTTACATTTCTTGACTGTAAGAGTTAAGAACTCATCTTCTAGCTTCATTAGAAAAAACAAATGTAGTATTAAATTAAACAATTTATGAATAGCAAAAATGAACTTTTGTACATGAGTTTGTGCAACACGCTATAGATTTACATAAAAATAAAAACCTAAAATTCCTATTATTATTAAATCCATTATGTTAAATCCTATTACATGACTTACATCCAGGTTTCATTTAGTCTACCTTTGTTTTTCTTCAAACCCCTTCAATGTTCATCATATTTAATCATCCTATGAGTGCCTTCTCTACACTTACATTTCTAAGCAATAAGAATCTATTTAGCACTATCTTATCCATAACAGATGCCTAATTATGCCAAAATTTTAGCAGTTTCAACACCCAACATGACCATTCTACATAGATATAGAGTTCCCCAATGGTGCCCTAAAGTTCCTCCACCAAACTGTAGTACGGAATCATCTCCAAAGATTTCGGTTAGGGTAGGCATATGTCAAACATGAATACCCCGTGAAGCCACGGGTATAACACCTGGCATAGAGACCCAATTTTGAGTGAAAAAAATATTACGACTTCGATCTTTTTCAATATAATTATCACGTAACAAATCAACAAAACTCAAAGTCATCTCACGTTCCCCCTTCAGTTTACCCACTACTGTACCAACGTGAATATGATCTCCGCCAGACATACGTAATACAACCACAAAAACAAGCCTTTATCCCAATAAGTGGGATCGGCTACATGAATCCTTTTTCACCATTCTACATTTTAATAAATTTATGAAATTGTTCAATCATGAAACACTAAATCTTTTCTCCAACAACCTACTAGCACTAACAATAGAATATCTAGACGCAAAATCTGAAATGAAAAGATTCGTCGCATTAGAAAGCTAACATAGATTGGCTTGCTAAACAAGAAATTGAAAAGATTAAGGCAAACACCTATCTTTTTGAAGGGTAATAATATACTAAGCTAAACAAGCAGAAGGCACATATAATCATAGACATCTTTCCTTGTAGCCAACACTAAAGAACTGAAATAAACAAAACTACTCGATAGATGACTAACTGGGCCAACTATGTATTATTGTTCAACAGAATAATGGGTTCTTCATTAATTGCATGGACTACTGGGGACTACATAAGGTAACGATGAAGCACAAACATATGTATGAGCCAAATTCGAGAATATTTCGACAATATGAGAACAACAAAATTGGTTGCAGTATTTATTTGTGATAGATATACTGATCTACGTAAAATAAAGCTTAAAAAGATTAAGTGTTTTTGAGATGGGTACAATAAATTCTAAAAGAACAGAATTTATATGCCAAAATTTATAAAAAAAAGTGCGAAATTTGATCAAACTGAGAAACTGAAGCAATAGTGAATTGGCCTAAACCAACAAATATTACTGAAATTCATGGCTTCGAAAAATTCATAAGAACTTTAAGCATTCACTGCGCGCGGACACTGGATGACTAGAAAATGGATCAAATTTGAATGGAACGAAGAAGAATGTGAAAATAGAATTGTAGCATGCAATAACTGGAATATGAATAAAGTCTTATGATTGTTTTTGAAGTTATAATACTGTAAATTATAGGGTACTTTTGAGGTATTAAATTCCTTGGTGTTATATGCCTGCATTTGAGACTTAGTTACTTAATGATAGGCATTGGAACTCACCTTCACTATGCTTCTCATTCACCAACCAAACTAGAGAAACTTGAATGAGAATCCTAACTACAGTCAATGTCACATATTTATCAATAAGAATCTTCCTAGAAAATAAATAATAAAAGAAAAGAAGCCACAATGCAAGCACATACACAATACAAGGGCGTCAAATACCTCAGAGGTTTCATGCACACACTAGAAATCATTATAACATGTTATAACTGAATCATATGAGCAACATGTATGTACATTTTAAATCGCATTATGTAAAAAACTTGCACAAATATATCTCATTTTGACTATCTTTCACAAGCACTAATCAGCACAAAAGTTATGAGCTAGATTCTGATCATCAATGTAACCATATTATAATCAAAATATCTTTAATCACTTCAAACTACTTATAATAATTAATAGTCCATCAAACATTACCGTAAAAAATTTCTACATGTTTTACACGCATTGTTTCTTATGTGCGCACCAAAACCATACTAACTGCACTAGATCTTGTGTCTTTCAAGATCAACCAAAACAAAAAACTATGCTTAAATTACTCCCTTTATTTGTATATAAGTTACCTTGATAAAAAAAAATCATTCCAAAGTGGATCTTTCAAGCACAAAACTAAATTGGTTCTATTAATGGATCTTTATATTAGTCTCCCTCCCATAACTCCATTCAACAACTTAAGAAATTAGTTCTGATATAATTATCACAAACATGAATATCTCATTTATTGTTAAACATTCGTAATAAAATATTTCTTTTCCAATCATTTGTATCCTTATTCTTCAAAATATTTTAGAATTATTTATCAAAGTCATTAAAAATTATAGTTAACTCCTGAAACCTGAACCTGTTTCTAAAGCAACAATTTTCCTTTTGACAATTTAACTTCACAAGTAAATATTATTTTTTATTCAGAAAGCTCCCCCCTCCCCCTCCCCTCAAAAAAAAATATATCATTCAGTAGGTTATTGATTTAGTAGCACTTTCGCATTTCCTTGACATATTTGGTTAAGTTTGCTAAAGTTTAACTTCGCCATAAACCAGATAAGTTGCCAAATAGTTTTTTAGACTCCTACTTTGACCCAAAAAATTTTACCAACTTAGGCACCTTTATCCACTCATGAAGCAATGATTGGAGCATTAGCAATAAAAAGTGCGTCGATGATAGTTTGATCTCCATTATGGGCATCCAAAATATCAACTACATAAATTTTACATCAATATTTATATGGAATGACTTTATGAAGCCAGCAAAGCTTAAACATAAAACTGGCCAAAACAAATTATCTCAAGTCATCTTTTTAAGCAACCAGACGTCTTAATTCCACTTGAAGTGTATTTCTTTGTTTATAAATAGTATATATCGAACATAAAT